ACTAATAACTACAACAACACACACACACACACACACACACATATATATATATATATATATATATATATATATATATATATCGAGTATCTGGGCCACGGGGGTGCGCGCGCGGGCCTCAGTTAGAGATTACGATTAGTGAGTTAAAATTTTAGCAATGGCTTAATTCCCGCCGACAACGCGAGGCGAAACGCCTGGCATATTTAATCTGCGAGATTTGAATAATACGTATGCACACGCAATTTTCGCATAATTCTATGTGTAACTGTTGCGAAAGTGGATGAACTCCGCGAGAAAAATGTCTATTGTCTCCCTTCCGCCATTTCTATAAAATATTTGCCCCCTTTTTAAATTTTCCCTGTACGCCGAACGTGAGTCTTTCGTCCGGCAGAAATTTATACACGTGGTTGCATTCGTCATGTTGTGTAAATATTGCACGGAATTGATAAATATGTCAATGTGTACACGTGTAATAGGCATCGAAATGTATTGTTATATCACAAAATCTGAATACATGTTATTGATACGTGTAGCTGTTATTGTAACCTAAATTTTTTGCAGTGATTTATATATGCAATTATATAAATACAATTAATAGTAAAATATATAAAATATGTTTATGTATATCTTAATATAATGCAAGATTTTTTAGATTTTTTTTTTAATCTTTAAAGTATCGTAAAAAAGTGTCTTATTTTTAATTTTCGTCATTTTTCAAAGAAATATTTTTAGAATAATTTTTTGATAAAAATTCTCATAAATATTTATTTTATACTCATACTTTATTATCGTGTGCGATATATTCGAGGTAATAAAGCGCTATCATTTTAACACAATATTTTTCTTTTTTTTTTTTTTTTTCTTTAATTACGGAATAGGCTTTGAAAAATGGATTGCATATATCGAAAAATTTGTGTTTTATTCTAGGAAAACACGATGTATCGAGTGCATCGATCGATGGCGTATGTTATTTTTGGCGTCGCCCTCTGATATTTGGCGGCGTCCATAGTTCTTGTTTCGTGATAAAACATCGCGGAACGATGAAAAACTCTGTCAAGAATGCATCATCAGTCCCAAAAAAATTCCCGAACGCGGGCAATCTATCGCGCCGCGCGTCCCGCAATGCGTTAACAGTTTCGTGCGATAGATACGACACGCGCGCGCGCAATTTTCGAGCGAGCTTTCGCTTAACGAGTTCGAGGACAGGTAAGATTTACGAGAAAAATGCTTGTCAGCGCGGGGATGGAATTTATGAAAACTCTCGTTTCGCGCTCCGGCCGGCTCCGTCAGTTCCTCTCGCCCACCCTCGCAGGGGTTCCACGCCCCCTTTCTTTCCGACGTGCTCCTTCCTCCTTATTTCTCTCCATCCATTTCCCTCGTGCGGAACTTGGTGCGCCGCTATATCCAGAAAGTACATCGACTTGTGATGTACTTTTTGCGATACATTAAGGCGTATATTTTATGGGATGTAAGTATAACGCGACGACGGCAACATACCGTGGGTGCGCGCCATCGACTCGGGTGGAGGAGAGGGGGGGGGGGAGGATACGAGGGAGCGTCGTGAAGACACGCGAATAATGTTAAGGGTGCGAGCGAGTGACTGATGCGACTTCGGGGGGTCTCCTCTCATCCAGACATAGGTTATCAACACCTCTCTGTTAAATTACACTTAATATAACACTACTCGATATTATGACCGACAATGGCATCGTTATTTCCATTCGATAAAAAGTTGCACGATAACAAATAGTATAACCGTACAGCACGTACCGGCAAATTTACGGGATGCTGGGCATCGTAAATTGGATGCACGGCGTGATTAATGCGCAAAACAAAAATCACTTTAGCCACTGTAAGCGTAATTTAGCCATTATTTTATTATATAATGTGCGCGATGAACCAATTAGTATATAAAATATCTAACCAAATTATAAAAAAAATTCAGTTTCCTTTTTAATTCTCTTCATTCTTTTTATTTTCTTTTTCCCTTGAAATATTCTTAATGTTACCACTTCGAATTATCAGCATATAATAAGTGTTAATGAAATTCCGGCGGATTTGTTCTAAATAAATTAATTATCGTGTGCTATCGCAACCATTAAGGATAATACCGCCGTTCGAATCGTAACTACGATAATAGGCAAACTTTTCTTCGCGCGATGGCAAAATCTGTTAAAAATACACACCGCTATTCCTCCTATCTAATTACAATAATAATAACCGCGTAACGGTTAGGTTCGCCTCGATGCTGCACAAATTTACATAAACGTCCAGCATATTTCATTATCGCGGTTATCGATCGTCTGGAAAGGACTGGAATAGGAATCGGATTAGTTCATTTTCGGAATCTCATTGGACCTCATTTGCATTTTCATTTCCGAATCGACTCGCGATTTTGGGAACCTTCGCTAGCGACGGATCCACCTTCGTGCTAGCCGCGGTTCGAGTTTCCGATCGGAAACGCGTCTCGCGTTTTCTTCTCCGTGACGTTTTTTTACGGCAATTTCTAGCAAGATTGCCGCGCCGTCGCGTATCGATGCCTCATATTCGTGCACAGTTCTGAAATGCATGCGGATGCCATCGGTGGGGTATGCAAACGTATCCATAATACATAACGCGCATACACACATGGGACACGTGCACGATGTGCGTGTGCACGCGCGCGCGCGCGCGTGTGTGTGTGTGTGTGTATTGCGTGTGCACAACGTTGCACACAATGTAGCGACGACCGCGCCGTATCTAATGTACACTTTTCACGTCGCGGCAAACTGCGACGGTACCGTAAAGATAGTCCGGGGAAGTGCACGCCGGTATTACGTGACGTGCCGCTCGATAATGATACCGCCGTCGTACGATAAAAACAAAGTGAGGGTAATGCAAACGTTTCGCGTACACGCACGCACGCACGCACACACACGCACACACACACACACACACACACACACACACACACACACACACACACACACACACACACACACACACGTGCGCGTGCGCGTGCGCGTGCGTGGAGGCACGTCGGGGGTTTCTACAAGCGCGGAAGGTAATGATAATGGGAGGCATCGCGCTTTAACGAAACTCCGCAACGCGTGCTGAAAATTATTCGCTCTCCTTGCCTTCCGCCCTCGTCTCGACACCCCCTTGGGGGATATTATTAATATATTTCGCAAGGAGTTTCCGCTTAGCGGGGATGTGCCCTGTAGTTTTGTCGAAAACGTTCTTCCTACTTAGATTTAACCATGTAAAAAATGCAAGGAAGAGATCGTGATAGGAAGGATTTTTTTTAATACGATTTATCGCGATCAGAATATTTTATCTCGAATTGACAGACTCTTGAGATTGATATTTGTTTTAATTATATCGCGAGTGTGAAACTAGTTTTTAGAATACAGATACAGACGTTCGCAAGTCGGATACTTGCCATTTCTGAATTAGCAAATATCATAGATGGATCATAATCAAGAATTTTTATCAGAACGTTAATGGACGCATTTGTAATCATAAGGTTATGCTAACAAAGAGATCTTTAACATTTCACGTTTACACTGGCAAGATCGTAGATTAATGTTCGTCTGCAGATCTTTAGTAGCGCGTGTCGAATGTGACAGTAATCGTAGCGACATGCGGTCAGACACGCAACGTACTTTCGACCGCCATTTCTCCTGAATTATTAAATAACGAAGAAACACAACGCGAATAATATCATCAATAATACTCAATAATACTCCGATTCCTTCGTTTCGTATGCTTGACGACGCATTATCGTATACTGTTTCCAAACCGTGTCGCGCAAAGTGCGATTCAAAATGAGATCGTCGAGGGCACTGCGCGGAACTGCGCGTTCGGCGAATGGTGTGTTCGAGCAACGAATATCATATCGGGCGAGGCTTTTATGGACGTATCGGTGCCGTCGTCAAGATCGAAAGACGATGTCGTGTACCGAGCGGATGGCGAAGTCGGGTCGTTAAGCGCGTCCAAGTGCGTCGGGCGAAGTAGTACGAACGCAGTTTACAGCGACCGGCCGGTTATGGGCGCGCATACGATCGGGTACGAAGTGCTCCGGTGAATATGAGCGAGCTGAGAGGGGGGACGGGGGCCAGGTGTGCTCTCGGCAAACGAGATGGATGTGTTGGATGTTCGCGTATCGCGTGACCACTCGATCAACGCCGCCGCGAGTTGACAGTGACTTACGCACCCGGGCACTCAACGAGATATGACATGCGCCACTGGTCGCGCGCCGCCGATGGGGCGCCCCCATTGTTACCCTACCTGTGTACCCGCCAAACACCCTTAATCTTTCTATCTTTCATAGCCTTTGTCATCGTTCGATCGCTCACGTACCCCATATTTCTCTCCTCCCTCTCCGCGCTCCCTTTCCGCCCCGCCCATCCTTATCGGCCTACTTCCCGTCTCGCGAATAAAGTGCAACGTTCGTCGCTCGCCGCGATAACGTCGTTTATTTCACGCGGCGGTACTTTTTGCATTGAAACCGTATTCTAAGCTGCCGAAGGCTCGAACCTTCGAGGACACGCATAGCGCGCTACGACGTCTCGGCGAACGAGAGCGACGATATAAAGCCCGACCGTGGTGATTGACAGGCAGTGGTTACTTACCGGAATCCAGAACGGTATATCGTGGATTTGACGTGTCGATAGGCAGCATATCTCGCACCCAGGAGATGATGGGCGTCGGGGATCCAACCGCGGTACAAAGGAGAACCGCGTTGTGACCCATCTCGACTACCTTCGTCGTTGGCGCTTGGGTGATCATTGGGAAACCCATCGGTAGATTCTCCGCTGTAATCGCAAAGGAGAGCATCTTTAGTTATTAAGCATTTATAACGTTTAAAGTGTTTAAAAGTTTTTAAAAGTCTGAAGTGGCCGATGCATTATGCAGCAAAAAGCGTTGATAATATTACACAGCAGGCGAGAGTTGATGCATCTTTTAAGAAAATTTCATGAAGAACGAATATAGAATAATCATAACGGAATAATGTGCCATAATGCATTTTACAATAAATGCTATTTTAAATAACATAATTTTCGATTGAGTATCCTAATAAGCACGCGAAAATACATATGAAATATCTCATTGTTGGACATCTTAATTATTTTTAAGTTTTCTATTTATAAGGTCGCCGCAGTAAATATTTGCTCGAGATTATTTTCAATATTAAATTTTCTTAAGATAAAACGTGGCGCATTTATTTAAACTCTTATATGTTCAAATGAGCTTAATTGAGTTTACTCGAGCTTTTATATTTGCCAGCGTGTTTGCGCGCACCGAGCGATCGATCAAAAATTTTTGACTACTTCATCCGTTATTCATCTACAAGATGTATGGTCTTCTTAGATATCAAAATACTCAAATAATGATTTATAGTAAGATAAGCACACGCATGTGAGTTAGTTATGAGGAGATAACATCTGGTATCAGGAATATCGCGCGTACCGGGAACGTCAAAATATTCGACCGGTACACGCCTTTTACATTGATACGGGCAAACTTCGCGGCTCGTCAATTATATATCGGACGTGTCGTAGAGTAGATCCGGATAGCCCTCTGTGAATCGTAGACAGACATCCGACGACCGGTCTCGCGGGATCGAAAGTTAGGAAAAGCCGCTGGAACTGGCCGGCCACGCCGTTCCCATTTCCCGCGGAAAACAGATCCTCCGTCCCTCGGAAGGCAGCTCGCTGATATGGATAGATGCGCCGGAACGCCAACGCGATCAGGAATAGAATCACAGAATTCAATATACCGCGCGGAGATCTTTTGAAAGGATCTGCCAAAAGGATCAAACAAATCGCGTGATTCTTGCATTTGGCATTTTCATTTTTTGAATATTCTTCTATAATCGACATAAATATCTGACTTTTAATTCATCATTTATCAGCTATCAGTTCTCTTTTTTGTATTATACGTTTTTCTTTTTACAATTTCTAAAGCAGTTATACGAGAGAGACGTGTAACATGATATCATCCTATAAACTCATTTTCTGAATAACAAGAGAGAAAATGTCAAACTAATTGAAACAATCTAGATATCTGTTACAGAATGTTCTGAGAAAAACATATTTTAAGGTAAACGAGATGCTATCCATAAAATGAGACTTACGGCAATGTCGGATGTTTGTGGATCTTAATAATAGGCCATACGATACGATAGGCCACTCGCCATGAATCTGATCGATATCCAATTAAAAGATACGTTTGACAGAGGTTGAGCGCGTCAAAGGAACGATGCATGAGTCGTGCGTGAAGTTTAGCCTCCGGGCGAGCAAGAAGATTAATTCGACCTGTTTCATGGTACACGTGATCCGACCCACATCGCTCCCGTTCTTCATGTAATTACGATGGCGCTACATTAATCCTTGGGGTGAACTCGTAGTTAAATCTAAGTTGGCGACGCGGCGTACGAAGTTCTGAACAACTCCCGCGATTGTCCTGCTTCCGTTTCGACGGTGCTCATACGACAGAGATGAAGATAATTTACTCGAACCGATTTAATAACGACCTTCCGATAGTGCTTGCTCATTTGAAGTGGATAGATAATTTGTTTCGCAAAGGGAACATTAAATTAAAGATCCGATAAAGACAACAAAATACAAATATACAAAATAAAATTATATTGTAGACACATTTCATAATTTTACAATTACAATTCTACAATTTGCAATTTTTTACAATTTTATAATTTGTCAACAATATTTTTCAAAAAAGATTAATCTAAATGTTTAATCTCTTTTTTGAATTATTCTGTACACGCTTTCTTTTATTTTATGTTTGAGATTTCTCACACAGAATAATATGTTTAATACGTATCATCATTAACAGATAATAAAATTTAAATCGCAAAGATTTTATATGAAAGGTTCCCCATTTCACAACATTTGAATTCCAATTTACAAAGAAGACAGCTCTGTAATTTTTACAAGTTCCAGCTATCTGAGGTTAAAGTTACTGAAAAGCGAACTCAAGACTTATTACAAGGCCCACAAACTGGGTGAAAGTTCCCCGTAAGGGCGCGATCAAACTGCAATTACCATCGACGCCTCCGGGTGGCTCTTAGAAAGTCCATCTTTCACAGTCTCGTCAATTACAAGAGCAATCGGAACTCGCGGACGAAGTTAGTGGTCGGCAAGTACTTTCGCGTATTCTGATCTACTCGCCTCTATTCGTGAATACATTTTAAACCAATGAACCTGTTGGAGCTTGGTAAGCCGATCGTCTATTAACGTAAAGATATACTCGAAGATTGGCACAATTGTGTTCGATCGCTTTGTGTCCTTTTTGTCTCTCCTTTCTCTATAATATTGATATCCGTCTTTAGTCGTTAACGTTATTCGAGCCGATGGATTGCAGATAAAGAAAAATTAAATGAATTTCTCTTACTCGTTTCATCATTATTTTCCATCTGTCTGTGTTTAATTTCCCTTATGGATGATTCTTCGTTCAATAATTATTCGACTAAATTGACGCAAATGTGGATTTTTCTTTCGGTTGACAATATTCCTGATTTTACCTCGTCAAATTTTGCACACGTATTAACATTACGATATTAATTTTTACAGTTTTACACATATTTGAAAAGGGATAATAATATCTGTAGAGAAACGAACCAAAGAAATCATTTAGCATGATCTATTTTTTGTTCGATATTTCGAGTCATTATTAAATTGAGATTAGTAAGTACATAATAAGTCTTTTTCTCACAAATATCTGCAGATCTGCTTAAACAGAGAAAAAAATTTGGATACTTTATTGCGACTTAATTTATTTCGACGTAACAAGATATTTAGCTACATCATTTTCTGATTGCAGGTCACAGTGAAATCATATACTAAAAATGCTCGAGTTAACAAAATATGTACGAGATGTACAAGCGAGACAATCGAGAAATTGTCATGTTCTCGTGTATAGCGCCAAGATAAAATCGTCGCAAATAGGTCGAGCAATTTACCAGCTATTTGCTGCCAATACTTGTAACTATTGTTAAGGAGTTGGAAATTATTAAGGAATTGGAAATTATTACGCATTCTTCCTTTCCTTCTCTCATTTTCTCGGCGGAATCTATCAAATTCAACGAGATTCGCATGCTATTAACGCGAGGGAGAGATCAATGTGTGTGTGTGTGAGAGAGAGAGAGAGAGAGAGAGAGAGAGAGAGAGAGAGAGAGAGAGAGAGAGAGAGAGAGAGAGAGAGAGAGAGAGAGAGAGAGACGTACGTACGTACGTACGTACGTACGTACGTACGTACGT